AAAAAAAAGTTATCATATCCACGTCCAGACCATAAAATGTAACATTGTTGAGCAGTCAATGGTATCGAGAAACTGTATTTAGATCATGCTCATTTACGTTGTTCATTGTAATATACCAGCAGAAGCTCATCAATTATAATCGTCGCAAATACAGGAGTATAACTGAGTAGTCAGAACGAGATCAGTTTTTAGTGTTTATCACATAGTTCCTAAATGTCAGATTTCTGTAGGCACATATATCCGAAATTGTTCCTAGTGCTTAGTTTATAGTTGTACTTGAGGGTACAACAACGGTGCGAATATGAAAGGGAAAAATTAAATGTCCAGTGGAATTTTTTTCAAGAAAAAAAAGAGTGGGGGAGGGCGGCATTTGTAAATTTCTCACGCAGGCGGTCACAACCCTCGCGGCGGTCCGTGCTGAGCTGCCGTTGCAGTTCACGCGATAATATGAAAAACTACTTATTAGTTGTTGTTTTAAATTACGTCTGACTTATGTGCATACTAAATAGATTTTTTCTCTTAAAAAAAATTAAACATTTTGTGTGTAAATATAGTACTTAGTATAACAGTAGAACTTACATAACTTAACAATACAAATATAAAAAAAAATTGTCAAAAAAATCTTCAACAGTTTGCATAAATGTGTTTAAAATATGGTAAATGGTCGTCTCCCCTAATAAAGAGTCTTCCGTGTTTGTTACTATTAATAGTGAATAGTTGTAAAAGTGGTCACTCACATAGGCCGCGGGATACACATTTGAGCAAAAAGAAAATCCGATGCCGAGGACAGACGCAGACTGTGAAAAGAAAATCTTAATCGACCACCGTCCGACAATGGTTATGCTTGCCGTTAATGTGGCAAAATATGTAGGTCACAGCTGGGGCTGCGTAGCCACGGGAAATACTGCATTCCTAATTAAACTTCGCAAAATTCAATTTTAGTAATTCGATCAAAGTTGAAATAGAATTTATAACCTTATAGGATGATTTTTTAACATTTGAAAAAAAAAAATTCGTGTTTAAAAGCGTCAAAGAGCCTTTCAAATATTTTTTTAAAAAGTTTAAAAGTCGAATAATACTCAGACATTGTAAATACGACTACTTTCTAAGTTGTAGAATGGAGAAGGGAGGAGATAAGTGATACTGTTAGGCTAATCTAATTCACTGGCAACAAAAAAGATGTGTTTAGGAGGGTTGCCTTATAACTCAGGACGTGTAATTAGATGTAGAGCTGAAGAGATACGGTACTCGAAATATTGAACTAAGAAGCCGAAGAAAATGTGTATGTAAAATGGCGACAAGGGAAGTTACAAAAGTGATACTTGAATTCTTAGGTTATAAGTATGTTTTTGTGTGTGTGAAGTCGATATAAGCAGGCCGTTCTAATTCAACGTAGGCCTAATATCATAGGCCAAAATTATGTTATGGGAGGGGGGGATATACAGATACAACAGAGCCATTGTTTGTCTAATATATGGCTTTGACGGCTTCTTGTGGGCTCTGTTCAAATTGTTTAAGACAAGTAAGTCAACGTGTGGGGCGGGGCATGTGAGTCGATGTGACCATTGACTATTGGTCACGAGTCCTGCATTAGATGATGTGATAACAGGCAACTATGATTTAAATATTGGGCTTACCTTTGTATGTTTCTAAAAATCTACGCGTAAAGGTTCCCTGCTACTTTTTCTTATTCCACGAATATGTTAAGTAGGCATACTTTATAATAACAGTTGGCCTACTGGGCTACTGCAATATTAGACTAAAATTCTTATTTAGAATTCCTGTTTCAAACACAAAAAGCCATGTTGTCTGGTACGTAGTGGTAGTCAAAAGTAGGCCGCCAATAAAACCCGCCCCTTGACCAACACACACCGCGTAACAATCTGCAAAAAAAAAAAACGAACCTCCCTTTAACAATTTGAACCCCCAGAGTCTCCTCCTTCACCCTGAAGCGTTATAAAGACCATAACTAAGCGCCGCCCTCACTGGTGTATACGTGAGTAGCTGACAGCTTCTGAAAAAGACGGAGAGCTATCAAGAGAGTCGCAGCCCGCAGGACTCACATTTGACACCCAAAAGAAGAGCACTTGCCTACAACAGGCGAAGACTACGAAAAGAGAATTTTAAAAGACCCTCGGTGACCAACAGCTTTGTCTGCAACAGATCATTCAGATGTGGGAAAATATGCAATTCGCAAATTGGATCTGCGTGGTCAAGGAAACTACTAGGCCTATATGATTGAATGGCAATGTCTTCGATTCCAAAGATTAAGGAGAAGTGAAGTATATCACCAAAGTGAAGACAATGCCTTATATCTTATGAAAACAAACAATAATAATAAACTAATAACAAAGATGATTTATATAGGCTATTATAGGCCATATTTTTTTAAATATGCATCGTACAACTATTAACCCACAGAAAAAGACACGGATAACGGATTTATCTTCAATATAAAAAAAAAACTTACCATCAATGGTGCAGCGCATCCACATAATAGGCTACCGGTCTTAACAAAAGGAATCTTGCAAACCAGTGATACCCAAAATACGGCCCGCGGTTTCATCCGAAACGTCGCTACAAAGTGTAAAAATCCTCCCCCCTCCCTTTTTTTTTTAAAGTTTGAAAAATGTATGTTTACCTACCTTAGGACCCTGACTTTTCTCTGATGGATTGGTACCACGACATTTAAAATTTGTAGGTTTATGCAATGGGAGAGCCGAAGAAACTAAAAGTGGACTCAGAATTTAAAATCTACCTGGAAAAGCGAACGGATCTTTACTTTTTGGTGGAACATATAAACCGACCTATTTGTTTTGTAAAGTGTGGCTCTTATAAAGCACAATAACATATAAACGTATTACAAAATATTCTTAGTTTGAACCGAGAATTAAAGATTATTAAACTACGCCTGAATGATCGATGGGAATATTTACCAACAAGAGACAAGAAATGAGTCGTTGGTAAAGCTATCTACAATCTTGTTCACATTTTAAGTAGAGAAATGAAGCCAGTTTCCAACGCTTGAAAAAAAAAAGATAAACTTACAATATCCCATTAATTAATGTAAGTACTAGATGCAAAAGTTTCTAATAAACTTTTTATAGGTCAATTTCGTTTTGTAAGCTTTTGGTCATAAGGCCCGCGAAACAAATGTCGGAAATTAAAATGGTCCGCAGGTCGAAGTAGGTTGGGCATCACTGTTGCAAAATATCAGGCTGCTGCCTATTAGACCTATTTCCCATGAGCGGAGAGGGAGTGGGTGCTTGTAAAGGATACAGCCACAATACTTAACCCTTTGTCTTTAAAACTATTACTTAATACAACGTTATCTCTGTAACAGGAGTAACCTCCCCCACTCTCTGTGAACCAACAACAAACGAAAAGATTGTCAGGCCAAACAGTGTGTGCTTGAGAGAGTGGACATGTTCCCCAAAGGGCAACTCCCAAAACACACTATTTCCAAAGCATTAATTAAGAATGGAAGAGGCTCTTCAGAACAATTCCATTTAGGTAAATCAACAGTGATGCCCAAAACTACGACCTGCGCTATCTGGCCCGCCCAAACATCGGATAAAAATATAGAAAACGATACCAATGTCCCTAAGGCTCTCACTCTTTCTTCGGTTCATTTGTAATTCTTCCAAATGTCAGCTCATAGATTTCTTTATATTTATCTTCGTCTATGTGTCAGCTGTTGTCCAGAGTCTAGTCTTGTACGAGACATCTTGTGCAACTCAGGGCATCATTTGGATCGTCTTTTGGTATCAATGCAAGTGGTGCTGTACCATTGAATAGTGTGCGGGAATGAAATGAAAGAGAACAAAAAAGTAGACTCAGAATGTACAACTTAGAAGAAAAGTGGAAACGTATGACTGGATGTTAAAGCGGACTTGCAACAAGAGTTATAAAATTGTGTTTTTCTTCATATGGCCAGCAACACGCGTGTCAGAAATTAAAATGGCCTGCGGGCCTATCTAGGCTGGGCATCACTGTTCTACAACATACTCCATCTAGTTCTGATGACAATGTGCAGCAAGTTAAAAGCAGTCCTCTAAAAAGGTTTTGTTTGTCTTCAGTAAGCAGGTGTAACTTTAGGGACAGGCAGGGCCGGCCCTAACAATTGCGGGGCCATATGCGAAACGGATTGCGCGGTACCAGTCTGGGTACGGATAATTATAAAATAAAAATAAAATAAATTCTTTACATTTCATTCATTCTTTAAAACAATCACGATCAAATTTACTTTAGGCCTACAAGACTTGCATGTAACGAAGTCATACAGCATATCCTCAAAATTCTGTTTCCTACATAGATCACGCTCCATAGCTAGTATTGCCAAATAGTTCAATATATCTTCGTGAATTGTTGACCGTAAGTAATTCTTGAATAGTTTGAAGCGCGAGAAGCCTCTTTCACCAGATGCCACAGTTACGTGTAGGCCTAGTGTTAAAAATATTCTGAATACAACAAAAAATTTGGGAAAGCAGTGTATCTTTGATTAGTAGACAAATAAGCTAAAATTTCTACCAGGGTACCGGTATTGGAGGAAAGTGATAGAATATGTCTTAAAGATGACAATTTTGTCTATTTTCAGGAGATTTCTTATGAGTTTTCAGATTTCCACGGACCACCGGAAAATCAGAAGGCCGTGGGATAATGGTTTAATTTAATAATTTACAACTAAATTAGCCCACTGCGGCCCCATAGGTTTCAGTGGCCTAAGGCCAGCACTGGGGACAAGATCCTTGGCTGTACAATGGTATAAGAAGAGTTAGCTAATGCAATGGTAATATAAAGCTCTTAATATTGACATGGAGTTCTCTTCAGAACATGTAGGTCACCAGTAAAGATGAGTCAATCTACACACTGGCTCAGTTCAGCTCTTATTTAATACTTTGTTTTCTAGCCCACCAAACTCGGTTGTAATTACCTCAGAACAGAAACATAATAAAAAAGACAAACCTGATACAAGTATAAACTACACACTACAATTGTAAGAGTGTAGAACAAACATATTTTATTGAACTATGTCATTTTTTTTTCATTTAAATATTTTGGTTGCAAAAAAAAAATGTAAATTTTTAATCCTTGAAATTGATTTTTGGTTCATTTCTTTACACACTGGCCTTTATATTTCCAAAAAGACCTACCAACAGCAGCAAAAAAAAAAAAAAAAGTGCTAATAATCACTTTTTTTTTGTATGGGACAGAGTTAGCAGAAAGCTGTCATTATTTTGTACTGTTGCCATAGACATCACCTGCCTAAATGGTTCAAAGGGGAACTTCTAAGGGAAGTTACTGCTTTTCTTTTGTGTGATACCGAAAACAATGAAATTGAATAATAATATAACACCAACACAAATATATTAAGTGTTTAATACAACACCAACACAAATATATGTGGTGTTTAATACAACACCAACACAAATATATGTGGTGTTTAATACAAACTACATACAGTATGAACACTTAATTATTTTTTTTTCAAAATCTTATTTGAACAAAATGATTATTTCATCCTTTAACAGACAAAAGATTTTGTTTTTAGTTTGAATCACTTCTGGTTCTGTATTTGGAACCATTAAAAAAAATATCTTGGTGACATAATCCATATAAATAAGCAGGCCAAACATGCATGACACTGTCAGCAAGTACATTCTTCTGAGTCATACAGGTTAGTTCTGCATCAGGACTGTCTGCAGCAAAAGCAAAGAATTCAAGAACCTAATCAATGCAAATATTCTTAGGAACACAACTCCAGCAAAGGTATCTAATCTGAAAATGTCTCCATGGCCTTGGCAAACCACTCTGGTTCTGCAGTGGAGATTTTCTCTATGATATTGTTAACTTGAAAACATAAGCTCTGAATCTGTCTATCCCAAGTTGGTAATGTTTCCCTGGCTGCAACGGAGATAAAAAAATGACAATTTAAAAAACAACGGAAAAGATTTCTGAAAGTGAAATGGTTTTAATATTGCTCTTTGAAAAAAAAGCATGCCTGTATTGAAATGCACTAAAAGTATTTTAAAAATGTTTTCATGATTTGCTTTCTAATACTTCACATTTATTCAGTGATATATATTCAAGTCTAAGGTAATTTTCAAAATTCACTTAAATTAAATATTGTTTGCAGGTTCAATACAACGATGAGATACTGTACAAAGTTTCTTATTTTAAAGTTCTGTTGATCAAATATAGCGCTATAGGGCAAGAAAGTACTCCCCCCTATTATGTCCCAAGTTATCAAGATATAAACACATTGCCCTTTAGGTGCCTTTGAAAAAAATGAAGAGTTTGTTTTTATTTCAATTTTTGTCCTAAGTCTAGCATTGTGATGTACTTAATTACACACAGCACTTGAGATTATTTTGCATACAAGTTATTAAGACATTTGAAAAAATGTTTATAATATTCCAACTAACTGACTAACTTTTCACTTAGTTTTATTGTATGGTCCATCACCTAGTCATCCTTGAGGGTCTCACAATATTACACAATTATGACTACCATCAGAAGAAGGCAAAGTAACAAATATACTAACCTAATAATTTGTTAGGTATTATAATACCCTAAGATCAGCCACTTTCATAAAAAGTATTTTTTGAGCTTTTTAAATGTTGTTCTTATAATAGACTATGTTTACATTATTGGTTTGATGTACGATTAATGAATTTTATTTTTCAATTTCTTATACAAAAAAAACAACAACTTGTGTATAAAAAATTTGATCAAATTTCTAGTACCAAATTGGACCAATATCATACAACACTAATACAAATGTATTCTGTACATACACAAGCTCTTAGCTGAGTAAATGTGTAAGATGAGCACTAATTAAAAATAAAAATCTTTTTTAACCTTCAAAATGTACAGTGGAATCTATTTGATCAACATAACCATTCATTCGTCCTTCAGTGATCATTTGGGATGCAATTTTTTCAGCCTGAAATTAAAAACAAAAGGATCAGAAAGAGCACATTTAAAATCTGAATTAAAAAAAACAAAAAAACTTGGATTACTTTTAGTTTCCTGTGGGTTCCATTCTAAGACCTGTCTAGCTCTGTTGTTAGTATCTTTTTTAAGGGTGTGACCAATCCATCTCCACTTCCTCTCTAAGATCTGCACCTCTATATTTTTCTGCCCAATCCCACAGTTTGGTGTTTTCTTTTTTGTCATACCAGTGTATTTTAAAAATATTTCTCATATATCTGTCAATGAGGGTCTGTATTTTATTTGTTGTTGCTTCAGTTGTTCTCCAAGTTTCAGAACCCTACAGTAGGACCGCCAGAACATTAGAGTTAAAGATTTTTATTTTAGTCTTGTTTGAGATGTGGCAAGATTTCCAGGCTATTCAGAACTAAACATAAAAATAAAATTTAACTCCAATCAAAACCAAAACTAAATTCAAAAAAATTATTTCCATTAATTGAATACAAGTATAATTTGAAAAGGACTTGCAATAAAAGTTAACCATTAATTAAGAATTGTCATTTCATCTTTGGAATACACTGTTTCAAATAAATTTTAATACCTTTGCAGGTGGAATCTCTAACAGTGAGCCGAGCTCTTCAAAGGAAATGTTATTGTAGAGTTTACTAGCAGACAAAAGATTATGTTCCGTCACAGCTCGATTTAATATTGTAGAGCCTGAAATGTTTCAAGTAAAAATTTTTAACTACATAACAAATCTAATCTACTTGATTTCTTAAACAGCAGATCAATGAAATGAATAATCAAAATGAGTACATTTTTTTTGCGAGTACATCAATGTAGAACATACGATGATAACATTAATTTTCGACATAGTACAATGCCATATATAACTATTCTACATTTAGAAGAAAGATCAGCTTACCATCAGGTGTAATAGCTTTCTGGTGGGGTTGTAACAAGGCAGAGAAATCCACTAGATCTGTACTTCTTATTATTCTGTCTAAATACCTGTATGCGGACATTTGCGTTATACAATTAAAAACAAATTGCTCTCCACAAGGAAACTTTAAATTGCTTTTATAAAAATAGATTTACAAATCTATTTGATATTTTAAATACTATTGCAGGGTGTTGCATTTCATCAGTTCTATTGAGAAAATATAATTTTTAAAAAAGTATTTTAATTACAGTTGATATTAGTTAGCATTATTGACTAATTTGTGATATTTGGTGTTAGGTATGGTAATATTGTTAATATATATATATTACCTAATAATGTTAGGTAATATCAATTTATTCTGAGTGCCTGGTATTTCTTAACTAAAATGTTACTGAGTTAAAATAATATCTACATGTACTTGATGTACCAGTAATTAAAATATATATCTACTGACATTTTTTCTAGAATACTATATGCAGGAAGCTGTTGGCATCTTTCATCTTTAAAAAGAGTGGCTAACATTCGTGATCGTTGCTGGCCTACAAGAAACAGAAAAGTTAAGATGATCTAATTAGGTGCAGATACCAATATAATTATATAGTTCCTTTTTTACTAATGACTAATAAGCTTAAGCAAAAGTTCTGCTTAAAATTTTTACTTTGAACTACTGTAGGAAATGAGTTGCCAACAATGACCTTTTGAACAGAGTATTACAGGTAGTTAAAGTGACCACAGCTCTTCAACAAATGTTTTACTTAACTCATTGACAATTTATATTTGTTTTACCTGCTGATGCTAAAACGGTGCAAATAAGAGCATTTTTTAAAGCTGTCATTCTTTCTTCTTCTGAGACAATACTCTTGAAAGATAGCTCATTATAGCGTTGTGCTGCTTCAATAAATTTGCGTCTAAAATTCAAAACTCTAGCATAGCAAGCCTGGAAATAAAATTGTAGAATAATTTATGTTACTTTTAAGTACTCTTTTTAACATAAAAATGTAAAAAACTATTCATATTTTTCTAACACATCTAATTGTACTAAAAGCTATAAATAGATCGCATTTTTTTAAAGAACTGGTGTGTAAACCTTATGTTAGCTTTCAACCATTGGTACCAGAAGAGATAATAAGTAGGCAAGTAGGGTTAATATTCATGTAATAAAACAATCCAGGTAGCCAATTATGAAAAAAAAAAAAAAATAATAATTTTGAACAAAATAAACCAAGGGGTAAAAAGTGTTGAATGTCTTTGGCATAAGCAAAATTCTGCCAATTATCTAAAGTTTAATCATAAAACTGATGATCTGATAATTTAATCATAAAAAATGATAACATGTTACATATATCTTAAATAGTCAAGGAATTCTAGATTCAATTCTCTTTCATTAAATGAAGTTTTTTTTTTTTTTAACCCAGAGACTCTGAAAAGATTATTGTTTGTAAAATGTTTTAAATGTTTTGGATGTTCCTTCAGAGTTGAAGATAATTACTTCCTAGTCCAAACCTCCCGCAGGATGACGGGGGATGGGAGCGGGCAGGGTTTGAACCCGGGAATCTGAATGACAGTCCAACGTGCAAACCGCACGACCAGGCAGCCATCCTTGACAGAAGTTCAATTCACCTGTTTCTGTGTTTGATAGTTTATGAAGCTTTTATGTGGTTGTCACCACAACAAACAACCACCTTTACCCAAACAAGGTCAAGTATTTTTAGGGATGTGGACCTATGGACTTAATCCGAGGCCATTCAGTATAGATGACCTCAACACTGATCTGAGACATCACAACCTGTGGGCAGTGGAGACCAATAGCTTCATACAGACTTGTGACGTGGCAACAAGCTATTGGTCTAAAGTGCCTACAGGTTGCGACATTGCAAGTCAGCGTTCAGGCCTTCTATGTGTTAATCTCAATCCAGGCTTCCAAATGCAAGTACAAATCTTGGAGCATTGTGTAAAGGCTTAAAACAACTTGAGTCCCTGTGATCAGCAGATGTTTGCATACTTTTTATACCAGTACTAACCAAGCAACTGCTTGTATAAAAAAAAAAAACAGTATACATAATAGATGCATTAACACAGCAAAACTAATGTGTGACACAAATCTTGATTATCAAAGAAAAAAAATATTTCAAACCTTGTACAAAATTTGAAGCTCTTCATTTTTGGACTCAGCCTGCAACATTGAAGCTCTGTTTATGTAAGCATCAGCTTGGTTAGCATCTTCATCTTCCAGAAACAGTCTGGCTATTTTTAAATAAGTCTCTAGTTTGTAGTCTGGACTGTACTGCCTAGAATGGAACAAACATAAGGCCATTTACATCAGCAGA